GCTCTGTCGGGGGGAGGGGCTGCTGGCAGCGTTCCTTCCTTTCCAGCCTGGCCGTCGCTACTGTGTCAATAAAGGCCGTTGGTAACGAAAACATTTGTAACCAGGCAGCAAGACATGACGGTGCACAGACAACAATTACGGGCTTTGAGAGTTGGGTGCCGGTGCCGATGCCGATGCCGGTCCCATGGAGGAGTCTCCCTCTTCCTCTCTCTATCTCTGTCTATAATGTTTACAATGACAACGCCTGGTAATAAGCTAAATATGAGAGAGTGTGTGGCGTGTGTGCCTGTGTTTGTGCCCGTGTTTGTGCCCGTGTTTGTGCCCGTGTGTGTGCCCGTGTTTGTGGTGTGTGGGTGTGTGAGTATGTTGGTGGTAATGAGGTTGTTTTGCATGTTTAGTCATAATACAAAATTTTGTGCTCTTGCTCGACTCGACGCCGTGTCTGCGCTTTATCTATAAACCGTTAAAGCCAACCATGATGACAGAGCCAGCTCAGGCGGTACCGCTCCCGCTCCGGCTCCCGCTCCCGCTCCCGCTCTCTTTTTGTTGTTCTTAATGCTGTTGTGGTTGCTGTTGCTGTTGCTATTGCCATTGCCATTGCTGTTGGTGGTGGTGGTGCTGCTGTTGTGGCAGGTTCCTGTTGCCTTTCACAAACCATCGCATAGCATGGTTTGGCATCGTTTGACAGAGTGTGAGGCCTTCGAGCTCGTCTCCTGTGCACATTTCGATGCATTTCGCATTTTGACATGTAATTAAATGTTTTGCGGTTGACAACAACCACAATAGCAACAGCAACAACAGCAACAACAGCAATCACAATAAATGAGTGGCGTGGTTAAGTGGAGTGGTTGGGAGGAGGGGGCATTTGGGGGCACATACAATAGCTGTTATGCAACATGGACATGCTCCATAGCGCCTCAACTGTAGGCAATAAATAAAGAGTGTGTCTGTGTGTGAATGTATTGTGGTTTATAACCAAGGCCCCTCCTCCTTCTGCTCCTCCTCCTCCTCCTCCTCCTCCTCCTTGCAATAAAATAGGTTAAAAAGAGAGAAGGATATTATGGAACTCGGCACCGATTGATGTCACAGGAAATGCGTTAATTTGCAGAGCGACGAATGAAAAATTGTGAAATGTGCAAATGGAATGCATAGGAAATTATTGTCCCAGCCTCAGACTCAGACCCAGACTCAGAATTTGTTCATCCATTTAACAAGAATAGCAATAGAAATTGCAGCCATACCTGAAATGCTGCTGCAAAGGAGCATTCCTGAATACTTAAGCTGCTGCAGACAACAAATCACTGCCCTTCCAATCATTTCCATTTTCATTATCCGTTTCTATTTACAAGTATTCAGTCTGTGGGCCTGTGCTGATGACTTAGAAGCATTAATTCATTTCACTCGAACTAACAAACTTTAATCGTTTTTTTTTTGTCTTCAGAATTTTGACTTTTGTTCTCATCGAATAAATCCGTATTTTTACAGTATTTTATCTCACATATACTCTGTTTTCTATTGAACATATTAAGTGAGCAGATAAATATTTACAGTTAGATATGTATATTCCGTCAATCATGAGAGTCGTTCTGGCACCAGTTAGTTCGAATGGGGCTTCAGAGCTTCTAGCTTCCATGGATGGCCATGAAGAGTGGGACGGTTATGAGGAAGCCGTCATATTATTTCACTGGAATGGTCCAAAATTAACCCGGCGCAGTCAACTTCATCTCTTCGTCCTTTCTTATTGACTTTTTGCTTAGAAATATTGCCAGCACGGCACTCCTTCTCCAGCAGCACTTGAGCTTCGCCACTACTTGTATATGAGAGGAGCAGAAACAAATCCGTGTTGGCAGCCACATGGTGCAAGAAGCCTCGTCCTTTTTGTGCAATGTGTGCTCCATTTTGGCATGCATTTTATGCGCACTCCACACACACACACACACACACACACACGCGTATACGCTTGCCCATTCATTCACTCGTTTCATTTTTGCATTTCACTTGCTCACATTTCTTTTACCAAATTGTTAAAATGGAGCATGCAAAATAATTGCGTAGGCGCACCAGAGCCGGCACCAGCAGCAACAACAACAACACGAACAGGACCACATCCTGTTCCCGTTGCCATTCTCCTTCCCGTTGTCGTTGACGTTGATGTTGCCGTTGCCGTTGCCGCTCGTTCGCCGCACTTTATGCAACTTTTGCTGCTTTTATTTCTTTTAATTCTTTGCAAAGTTGTTGCATATTCTGGGGCAGAAGCCTGCCTGGTAAAACGTTTCCTTTTTCCATTTTTCGCCAGCTAGACTTCTGCTCGCACTTTAAAACGAAATTGTTGCAAGGAGAACAAAAACTGCATATGTTCATGTCCTTCTGAAGTAGAAGTAGAAGTAGAAGCAGAAGTTGAAGCTGATACTACAGCCAGGCATAGCGAACGGACTTTTAATGACTATGTATAGTCTATGTTCAAGTATGTAGTATATGGTGTGGAGTACTTGTATGTATGTGGTGTGTGGCTCGAAAATTATGCATTTGAAACAAACTTGTTTTTGATTATCTCTCTGCGCCCGCCTAACGAAGTGGCCACTCGGAACTATCAGAATCGGGCTCAATGCAATGCAGATGCACGACAACATGAACATCGAGTCACAACTCTGGGCAGTTCAATCGCGATGCCTTAAACATTGCAAATTTATGAGACTTGGAGAAAGAACGAGCACAGAATGGGTCTCTTTCTTGGTTCCGCCAGGCACTCGTGCATTGTGCGAAAAGAGTGCAAGGTATTTTTAAAGAACAAAAAGAATTCTACATTCTTTCATGCAAAATGTACAAGGACACAAGACTTGGAGGAAGAACGAGAGCTGAGTGAGTCTCTTTCATGGCGTCGTCTGAGAGTCGTGCATTGTTCGAAAAGAATTCATTTCATTCAGGAATATACATCTCCAATGTATGGTGCCATATTTTTCTCTTCATTTAATATGCCTTTCACACAAGTCTTATGTATTATTTTATTTGTGATTGTAGGTTATATTCCTTTGTATGTAAGCATATTTCCATCTGGTGTTTAAGCTTTTTCCAAAAAGTTTTCGAATATGACAAAATTAAAAAGAGACATTTTTAAACAAATAAGAGATTAAAAAGACTTAATCACCGAAACAAGCGATTATAGACTGGGCAAGATAGAGTCTAGAACCGGTGTTCAACTCTCCGAAAAGTATAGGCATATTGGCAAATTAATGGGGATTCCGAAATCAACAAATCTAATTATTTTGCAATGCAAAGAAGACACTTAAATGAGCACAACAGCAGTTTGAAAACTGCTTTCGAAACCTTTAAAGAATGGGATTAACGTCCTAGAAATTCGAGCAGTGTATTCGCCTATTGAACACAATTGGGAGCAGATTATTTAGGGTCTAGTGGAAGCTCTGTAAACAGTAAAAGTATTAAATCAAGTGGCACTTTTTCATTCAGATTCATTTTCCAATATAATAACTACAACACCACATGATCAGACTTGGCTTTAACTGAAACATAAGCGCGATTGAGCATGAATATATATAATTAAGCATTAGTAATAAGTAAGGTATTGACATATAGTCAGTAAGTGAAGTGAAGACCAAGCTCGAAAATAATGAGTTCTTCAAAAATTACATTCAGGCCTGCTGGGTTATAACACGAACCAGATAATTAGCTGTTAAATGGAATGCAATATCTCTATACTTCATTCCATATAATCAACGAATCACGTTGCCAGCTAACATCCACGTTAGATAACGAAACGATGGTATTACGTTGCTTCAGTCAGATTGCACTTCAGGCTGCGAGCGACCAGTTGAGTTGTGTGTAATATAATTGAAAGGTATTATTTACTCAGAGCGCCTGAAGCAGCTGTTTAAATTAAATCCGAGTATCCATCTCAGCTTAGATTGCTGGTGCGTTGACTTGTGCGTTATCTCCGAGCAGCTAAGCCTTGAAAATCGTTCGTTGCGAAAATAGACCGAAAAAGCAATTCCGCCCACAGGCGTCCCTAATCAAGTGCATTCAAATGACGCACTCAAATCAAATCAAAGGACAAAATATGTTACCCAAGTCAAGTGCCAGCCAGCCGGGCAGTCAGCCAGGCAGCCAGTCAGCTAGCAAGTCCTGCCAAAGGGACACATAAAAATGTCCAACAAAATCGACTAATAACAGGCAACGTTTAAGAGCTGAGCTTTCATTTAATGCAATTGCTATTAAGTTCACTTTACACCAGGCAGGCCCACATTCATGACACAAGGCACTCACCCACATCCACATCCACATCCACACGCTGTCTCATCCCCAATTCCATTCTCATGCCCAGCATTCAAAGCAACGAGGACAGCAGCAGCAGCAGCAGCCAAATGTGCCGCTTATGTAGATGCCGGACGAGGTGGCGGACCCGGCGAACAGCTGGACGTTGAATACGCGCCGGCTGCTATTTATTTTCATTTTCTTACATTTATGGTTTTATCTCTCTATCTCTATCGGGGCAGCGACCGACACTCGACTCATGCTGACACTTTGTCGTTTTTATCGTTTCAGCGTTAATTCGGTTAAGCACTTAAAACGCCAAGCCCAAGCCAACGGAGAGTACCAGCCAGCAGCAGCAGGAGCAGGACCCGGACCAGGGCCGGAGTGGGCCCAACACCCGTGTGGGCGGGCCGGTCCAGTGCTGGGCAATGCGTTAACAGTGGGACAACAACAAAGCCCTACAAACGACAGCAAATTGCTGGCCAAGTTACGTGCATAGTTCAATTGAAGGTGAAATCCACAACCCTGTTCCATAGAACCAGGGGGGACCAGAGGGAGCGACACAGCACCACACCCGTGACACAGAGAGGAGCGCACCCGCCTGAAGGCAGTTGAGGTTGAGTGTGTTGGGGGGCCGGCCAGGCCAGGCCAGGTTGGTCGGTCCATCGTTTGTTTGCCAGCGATCAGAGGCAGTGCTAGAAAGAGCGACATAGGAAGGGCCATAGGACACAGCCATGTCCAACAGTCATTCCGGCACAATTGGCCGTAAACGCGTCGGCAGCGGCAGCGGCAGTGCAGCCGGCAGCGAATACTATTTCGCTGCTGGCGGTGGCAGCGGCCTCGGAGGCATCGGTGGCGAACAAATGCGCCGCCAGCGCTCGGCCGAATGGCACAGCCATCGACATGGATACGGAAGCAGCAGCGAGGATGAATATCAAAATACGGCCCAAGCAACCGCATTCGATACGCAGCTTTTGGCTCAACTGCTGCTGCAGAGTCAGCAATTGGCAAGTAAGTACAACACACACACACACACACACACACATCTATAGTATATATACATGTGTATATATGTTTGGTTCATACACAGATAAGCCTAAGCAGCTGGCCAGCCAGCCAGCCCGCATAACTGTCTCGTAGTCTTGACTCGAACTGCGATTTATGCATGTCCTTGATAGAGTTGTGCCCAACTAGTTCCGCAAACAGAAATGAATCGTCTCGTGCAATATGGAACTAGCTCCACACATCGGGCACTACATCTTTCGTCTCTGTTGGTCGCGAGAAATAAAAAACAGCACTCGCCGTGGATCCCCGATTTCCGTTTAGTTTGCGTGAAATCAATGGTTTCTTTTAGAGTATTTTATTATCAATACTGTTCTGTTTCCAGTTTACGGTCGATCAGAAGACAAACGTTCCGAATTAATTTGGAAATGCTCGAAATGCTCTTCGGAAACGAAATTTCGCAAATTTTCTTTTTTCAACAAACAAATATTCATTATTATTTTAACTTTTTGATGAATGAGATGTTCTGTTGTTTGGATTCGTATATTTTTTAAAAACATCTTCTGCGCGATTTAATTTAATTTTAAAGATGACTTCCCCTTACTCTTTTACTTAACACGAGTATAACAAGCTTTGTAAATCTTGGAAATTAAAAATTGTTCAGAATTTGTTTTTGAAATTGGAAAACAAGTCTGATAAAAAAAATCAAAAGCTCAGCCACTCACTTTTACTCGGATAAAAACAGTTTATAACTGTATTAAACTAGTATTGTAAATAAGTACATTATAGTATAACATATTTGTTCATTTAAAACAACAGGTTATTTATCTTAATTTGATGGTTATTTAATGAATTCAAAATGTAATCTTTGGTTCTTAAGCTAAAAACGGAAACATCGGGGAAATCCGATTTTTGAACTAGCTCCAACCGGAACAGCTCCAGTCTGGCTTTTATAACTGGTGTGTGTCCGAGTACATACATACATACATATATAAGTCGGCTGGCTGCTCACTCGTGCCAGTATATACATGCATATATATTCATTATTTTATTTAATTGAATTATTCAGTGTGCCCTAAGTTGCCTCCCTTGGTTGCTCGGGCATGTGGCTTTACGGCCAAGGCCATTGATGCGCGATTGCCGTTTGCCTAGTTGGCCTTTTGCTTTGATTGGATTGCATTGCCGGGCTTGAAGCTGCTGTACATCAATGAGTCCGTTTTGGCCCATTTCCTCTTGTCCAAATACGCACGCTGGAGCGCTGATTTGAGGTCAGACAGCTTTAGCAACAATTCAAGAGCAGTTCTGGCTTGGCCCACAGATAGGGGTAGTACTTCTAACCTACAGTAAAGGGGGTTTTCAGTGTCGTTCTCTTTAAAACATTAATTTTTCTTAAAATTATAAATGCTCCTAGAAGCAGTTTATAATAGGAAACAAGTTCTGCATCAAGAACACACACGAGGACATCACGACCATTGCTTAATAATATTGAATTGTAGTTTCCAATGAGTGGAAGACTACCATGGAGCCTCTTTAGACTTCTTTGATGCTGATTCTGTGTGGCTGACTGGCCCCCATAGTTGGACCGGCCATAGATCCATACCGACTTAACAATTGCCTGAAAATATAAAAAGGTTTTGATATAAGCTGCACTTGTATCTCGAAATGCACACAGGCCTATTTCTTCTAATGAGCAAACTGCCTTTTTTCACAAATCGCGGCCTAATGTCCACCATGCCACATGTTTTGTTTGCTCAGCGCGCTGCAAGGACCTCTGCTCAGCAGCGTCCACTGGCTCCAACAAAAACCAAAGGTACCAGAACCAAGCTGCAGACCTCTTTTTCTATCTTTAAATTTAAATGTGTGCAGAGGCTGGGAAAAATTAAAAGGTTCATTCCAAAAAAAAAAAAACAAAAGCTCTCCTTTTCATTCAGAGTACGCCTGCAAACAAATTTTTCGAAAATATTGAAAAAGAAGGAAGAAATTTGCAGCACTGCTCAGATTAAGTCAACAACACAAAGACTGCTGTATTGTTCTAGGGAAGCCCAGCTGGCTTACAAATTTAAAATGCGTATCAGAAATTAAATGAAATTGCAGGCAAATTATTTGCGTGTCTGAACATACATAGCTGAATTAACCAAACGCAAACGATTTAAATAGAAATACGAAGCCCTACTTTATTTCTTTTAATATTCCTGTTAACAAAATGTTTGGAAGTAAACACTGTGAACGGACAGGCCATATTTCCACAAGAAAATAAAATGTTATCAATAAAAATAAATAAATACAAGCATTTGCGAAAATAAATCATCGAGTTATTGGTTGAATTGCAGAAAGGGAAAAAATGAAAGTGAAAGAGAAAATTAAAAATTAATTTAATTTAATTTTAAAATTAAAATTAATTAAATTAATACTTGTAACGCTAGGATAAGTTAATAAGTACATAAAAAAACATTCCAAACGACTTACATTAGAAGCCAATAAAATAGGAATCTCTCATTTTAAAACGTCAGTTACTATTATAACTTAATATTTTTGCCAGCGCTGCGCTATTAGTTGGCAGCGCTCATCCATTAATCTAATCAACTATGTTCGCAAATTTCATTTCATAGAAATTCCGCCCAAAATGTGCAATTCCGAGTGCGAATTTGATCGAAATGTAATTGTGAAAAGCCAGAATTCCCACAATTTCGAACTTTTTCCCACAATATGATTTAAGAAACAACCAGATTTGACGCGAAAAAAAACAAAGTGAAGCCCAAACTTAATATTTTTGCCAGCACTGTGTTATTAGTTGGCAGCGCTCATCCATTAATCTAATCAACTATGTTCGCAAATTTCATTTCATAGAAATTCCGCCCAAAATGTGCAATTCCGAGTGCGAATTTGATCGGCGGCTTTTCAATTACCCGACGCAGCTGGCGGCGCCGCTCCCGCTGCCGACGCAGAGGCAGAGGCAGAGGCAGGCGCTGCGTAATCGAAACATAAAACGGAATCCAAAGTGCCGTGCGCATTTTATGGCATTATGTGCCCCTCCGTCCATCTGTCCATCTGTCCGACTTGCTGTCGGTTCGCTTGCATTTCGCTTTTATTGTCTGTTAATATTTAATGTAATTTACGATTCATTTTTTACAACCTAATAACAGGACCGGGCCAAAGTGTTTTCGCTGTTGTGCCCATTGTTTTTGTTACTGTTGCTAATATAGTATTTGTGTGTGCGGCACTCGCGATGGAGTGTGCGCGTGTGTGCCGCGTTCTGTTGCGTTGTGTTGTTGCACAGCATGTGGCACAATAAGCTGAGGGCCGCAGCAGTGGCAACAACAACCACAATAGGGCCCTAAGCCAAATTGACGAGTCAAGAGTGAAGTGTAAATTACAATATGTAAACACACATACATATCTACATATGTCCCTCTCTCTCACTCACTCACTCTCTCTCACTCACTTTCTCTCTCTTCTCTCCCTCTTCGCCGGTACTGCCCGTATAGGTATGGAGCACTACAATTCAGACTGCGAGCCGGACTATTTGCGAAAGCGCAACGTGGAGCGGCGCGATGAGGACGCCAGTCTGGAGGTGACTTACGCGCAACCACACCAGCGAACCGCAACGGCCCACTCACCACTCAAGCTGACCACAGTGTCGTCGAGCACGGGCGGCCGGTACCAGTCCAATGCCAATCTCGGTCTCTTCCCCAACAGCAGCAGTAGTAGCAGCACGCTGACCGCCGCCAACGCCGCTTCCACCAACACGCCGCGCAGTACAAACCCCTTCCTGAGCGCCAAATACGCTGACGACGGCAGCCTGGGACTGGACGCAACACCAGCCTCCAATGCCTATCTGCTGCCCGCCTCGGCCTCATCCTCGACAGCGGCATCGAGCAGTCGCAGCCATCGGGCAGGAAGCAGCGGCAACGGTGGCGCCACACGCAACACACTGAATCGTCTGAGTGGCATGACCAGTTCGAGCAGCGGCACATCGGCCCTGTCCGTCAACCGCAGCGACTCGCTGCGCGACAAGCAGCAGGCGGCGACCTCAATGGCTGCCCAGCTCCAGCAGCTGCAGATGCACGAGCTGCACGAGTTGGCCAGCAGCGGAGGTGGTTGCAGTGGCAACAATGAAAGCGATCTGGATGAGTTCGTTGGCTCCGGTGCCGAGTCGGAGCCACCGCCGGAGCCAGCGCCGCCAGAGATACCGCCACGCACCCAATCGCTGCTCATGTCCTTGCGCAAGCATTCCGACTACAAGCTGAAGTACGAGGAGAAGGGGGACCAAAAACACGAGGAATTCATACCAACGAGCCAACTCCAGAAGGGTGAGTACCGAAGTTCACGCCAACCGCCAAAATTCCAATCAGGCTGATAACAAATGACGTCAATGGCTGTTAGTGATATTCGAATTTTTTTATAATTAGTGGAAGAATGCTCCATTTCCGATTTTCCATGACAATAGCCAAAATTCCAATCAGGATGATAACAAATGACTTCAATGGTTATTATTGATATTCAGATTTTTTTATAAATAGTGGAAGACTGCTCCATTTCCTATTTTCCATGCTAATTGCCAAAATTTCCATCAAGATGATAATAAATTATATCAATGGCTGTTATTGATATTCAATTTTTTTTTTTAATTTGTGGAAGAATGCTCCATTTCCGATTTCCCACGCCAATCGCCAAAATTCCAATCAGTATTATAAATGACGTCAATGGCTGTTATTGATATTCAAAAGCTCTCAACAGATTCTACAGCTTCTTCATCGAGGCTTAAATCCTTTAATGATTTTTGAACAAAGTTATTTAATCCAATTCTAAAGAATAGAAGTACGATACTTTTTTATTTGAAGTTTTAATCTCTTCAAACTATATTTGATTTTTAAACGTCTGCCAAATATATCCTATCTAGGATATTCCTTAGCAGGGCGAATGGAAATTGGGAAAAGCAAGGCTGGGAACATCGTGGCTGGGAAAAGTGCTATTGGGATTAAGTAAGGATGGGAAATTTCGCACTGAAAGCTAAAAGTAAAGCTTTTGGTCACTAAGCTTTGGGATGGCTATGTTTTAAGCATTGCGTCCGGCTTTGTGTGCAAACGCTTAAAGCATTTAACTCGAAAAAGCTTTTCAAAAAGGACTAGAAGGAGAGCTTTCTGTAAAAGGCTCAGTCAGAGGGAACTGTTGCTTCTGTTGTTGGGAGGGATAAACGAGGAAGTAATTGAGTTGTTGCCCCAAATGTATGCTCCTTCCGCAAGCTTGAAAGCCGGGCTGTTGCCACAAATTTGAAAGCTGCAACAGCTAAGTAACCAAATGTGGCCAATTAAAGGCGGAAAGGCAGCTCTAATAGGATACTGAATCATGGACACATACGCAGCTCCTTCCTGCAAGAGCGCTGCAATGTGGGGCAGCTATCCTTTGGGATTTTCCAGATCGAGTTAGTTAGCCAGCGATAGTAGCCTTGACGTCAGCTGTTGAGCAGTGCCTTCTAATAGGTGTAGTCTAATCTAATTGTCTAATTCGTGACTCGTTCCACAATTTTCAGATTACATTCTCAGCGACAATTTGCGTTCAGCGGAGCAACAATTGAAGCCCTTGTCGCCCAGCGATTCTCAAGGGTAAGTGATAGTCCAATTTTGTCCACACCCTCGAGTAGCATTCAAAGAGCATAAAGGAATAACATTATATATTTTCAACACAAATATATGTAAATAATAAAAAGCTTTCAGGCAAACTATTCTTCATTACAGCACAATAAAACGATTTCTTCATTTCAAGCAGAAGAACCAAGATTTGAAGATAGAATAAGAGTGAAATGTTCCCTTCATGGCTCCAAAGAGCTGTGTATATGATATGTTTATTTCTCAATTGTCCCAAAAAAGCAAACTTGTCTCTGTAGAAAGAACTATACACATTGAGTTGTGAGTTCTCATTAAAGAATCCTATTAGTTTCACAATATTTTAAATGTTCGTTTATTATTATTATTTTTTATTGATGTGGTGGCTGTAGGCTTGAAAAATCTGAAATGTAAATAATGGGAGAGAAATCAAGTGCCTGCTTCACAGCCACAGCTTCACAGTGAACAGTTAGGATCGGCCTGCCGCCATCGATGAAATGAGTCTGCCCAAGACGGTGGGGGTAGGGGCGTCTTCAATTTAACATTTGTAAGGACATGATATGCATGCAGCGATAGAGCCTGGAGACTGTGTGTGCTACCGCAAAGTCCGGCATTGCTTTTCGCCATAATTCCATCAACTGACCGCAAACAGAGCCTGAATTGAAAAGGAGTGGGCCTGAAACTGTGGGTGCACTTCCTGCGTTTTATCCTTTGGCCGATGGTCATAAAAAACCGCACGAAAATACACGCCAAAGACAAAGAAGACGATGTTGGTGACGACAACAACAACAACGCTGCTGATGACGATGACGACACTTGCCCTCTAATCTACGTGCAGTGCCGTGCAGTGCTGCGCCGTGCAGTCGGCTCTCATGTTACCAACAAGGACATGTGGACTTGAACCTGGACACGGACATGGTGCTGGCAAAGTGAAGCGAGTCTCATGTTAACGGCAATTAAATCCGCAAATGGTTTCGCATTGGCAGCAACAGCAACAGCAGCAGCAGCCGTCGTCGCCATCGGTTCGTCGTCGTCGTGGTTCCCATTCGCATTCCCATTCCCCTTATCATCTTGTTTTCTATCTTTGTGGGTGCGTGTGCATGTATCTCATCTACAAGTGCAACGCCATTGTAATCCTACAACCCGGCACCAAAGCCGCAGCGCCAAACTTCAAAATGGCTGCCGTCGCCGTCGCCGTCGTCGTTGACGCGCGGTTAAAAGGGCGCACAAACAGCAGTTCTGCTTCGGCCCCGGGCAGCGGCACAGTGTGGCAATTCGTTGAATAAATTGAACAAAATGTGAAGTCCCTCAGACCGGCAAGATCTTCTCTAGGAAACGCCACGATTGCTGAGAGGAAAACTGATCTTGACAGATACATAGGTGGGCAGGAAATAAAATTCAAAATGGGAAATGCTATATGTTATGTTCTCGATCCAGGTCTAGTTATGTCAGCTCTAACAGCAAGGGATATAGTGTACCTCGAACGACTGATGTGGGCCTTTAGAACAGCTCCAGGCGGCCATATCAAACATGCGGAAATCGGAAGTGCTGGCGAATTCAAAAACTTATCCCACTGTGCAGCGGTTTCCGCTTCAACAATGGCGTCGGTGTTAGCAGCGCTTATCGTTGCTACTGTTGTTGTTGTTGTATGTAGGAGGCTGTCTGCCTTTCTGTCTGTCTGTCTGTCCGCCAGAGGGGCGACCCAGACAGAGAGCCAGTCGGCCGGCCAGCCAGCCAGCCAGCCAGCCTGGCAAAAGATGTCCGTAGCATTTTGCGGTTCTGTAAGCGGCTTTCGCAGCGCATTTTGTTTGCTCAGTTGTTGTTGCTGTTGTTGTTGTTGTTGTTGGCGCACACCCACCTGCTGCGCCATGCCTTGTCTACATGTGTTGTGTTGCAGCATAATTAAAGAACTCACTTGCAGATTACGTGGTTTTATAGGTTTTACCGTTACCGTTGGATTTTCTTTCCACTGAGCTCTGATGCCCCAGCATCCTCTGCGTAGTCCTGTGGCACGAGCTGCAACTGCAACGGTGTCGTGTCGCATCATCATATGATGATGCCGGTGCACTCCCTTTTTTCCCTTTTTTTGTATTCTTTTGTTGATGTTTTACATACCCTACACATATTACGAAAGGGTATATTATTGTCCACAACACAGCAACTTTACAATATTTAATATTCGTTGCCAAATTTGTTTTTCGATACAAAATCATCCGGGTTCTGGGCCATAGTTGTGGGATAAGACATCGCTAGTTAGTAGATGTAATTGTAATTTCTTATGCTGTTTTACTTTTGATTGTGTTATCTGTTTAGTTATCTGTTGTATTGATTTTCTCTACGATGAATTAATTGAAAATTAAGTAAAAATAATGCCCTAGAAGATAAAGCTGCATTTATCGAATGCATTCTAGTCCTACAAAGGAAAGGAACGGAATTTTGTTATCTGTTAAGTTATCTGTTGTATTGATTTTCTCTACGATGCATAAATTAATAATTTAGTAAACGAACGCATTCTAGTCCTACCCAGTCTTACCATTCGTTTAATCAACCAATTATCCGCCTTCAACAATTGATCAGCTTCTAAGGATCCCAATTATGCACTTAAAAAATATACCATTTTGTAACTCTGCTTTGTCAATTGAAAAATTAGACGCGCGAATATCTCCATAAGTCGTTGTGAAGATTTCAATATTTCGCTCAAAGTAATCGCCTTCTCCCGGAATCTAATCTGCTCCCATACCGGCTGATGGCGATGCAGATGAATGGCCTCACGGAGTAAAACATATGTTTTATAGTATGTCTGATATTGTTTCTGATTTACTGACATTTGCATATAAAGTTATAGTTGAGTTATTCTTGACTTCGACTCCCCAAGTTGTGGCGATCCTCCGATGATAGCAGCAGCTCAATCGAGGACAGCACGCTGAGATGGAGCCTCTCAGCACAACCTGGAGGGTATATAGCGTCGAGTCAGCCGGAGAACACTGTTTAGGTACAAAGTCGATGTTGTTGCTGTGCTTGCAGTTTGTTTGCGCCCCTTGTGTGTATCGCCAACTTGAAAGTGCATGTCGCTTCACTTTTGTTTACTCAAAGGATTTTGTTGTACTCGTATGTTATCTGGAATACGTACTCGTATCCGAGTATCTGGCACGTCTGATTGTTGTTGTTGTTGTTGCATTGGTCTGCCGCCTTAAATAGGTAAACTATCAAAGGCACTGTCAACGCCACATATAAATATACATACATATGTATGTATATTGCCGATTGTGTTTCCAATTCTCCATCGTATATAGCATTCCAGTTTTGTTTGTAACGACACTCTGTCCAATACAAGGTACAGAAAGGCCATCTAACTTTTCGAAAATAGTTCAAATAAAATTCTTGATAATGTAAAATAAAAATAAATGTAAAACAAAAGCAAATCAACCAAATTCTTAAAATAAAAATATATATAAATAATTGAAAAAGAAGACTTGTTCGCCGCTAAACGTTGTAGAACGGAATGAATGTTTGCCCACTCGAGTGCCCTATTTATATGTTTTTCGACGCGGTCGATTATGCGAAATCTTACTTTCCAGCACTAATCACCAGTGCGGTAAACGAAACTTGTTCAACACTTATCACATCGAGCCATTGTCCAATATTATCGATGAGCGCTGGCACTTCATTTCCTTTTAGCCTAAGTAAATAAATCCATTGTCATAACTGGCTGGAGAGGCTGGAGAGGCTGGGAAGGGATTGGGGGGTGCCTAGAGCTGTGACTTGGCCATTGGTTTGGTGCTTCTGCAATAAAAGACCCCAAAGGCTAAGACAATAAGCGCTAAACCATCAGCATCAACTGCCATCAGTTCACATCAATTCCCCGCCGCTCCCACACAGCTTATGTCTGCGGATATTGAAAACTGTCTGTGCTACACACGCCGCGACAATAAATCGCCGCAAAATGTCGGCTTCGATCGAAATGTAACAAATCTAATCCACAAAAATGTCTTATTAATACCGCAACACACACGCACACACATACTATACAGATATGAGCTGCTGGGTTGACGTGTGGGTTTCTGGAGTCGCAGCAAAGGCTGGGGCAAAGGAAGGGACGGGGGCAGGGGCAGGGGCAGCTCGCTGCTTGACTACCAACTCTACAATTGTAAGTGAAAGATATTACCAAAGCAAAGCCAAGCCCCAACAATAATACCAATGCAAGAGAGTGCTACTGAGCTGCCATATTGTGGACAGTGGAGCGGCGCTACAGCGAATTGTGCTTCGTTCCGCTTTTTTAGGGAAGTTCTCTTCTTCGAATTCCGTTTGTAGTTTGTAGTGTTGGAAAAGGAAGGCAAGTGCTGAATAAGAACTATCGATTTATTGATTGGGTTATCGATACATAAAACTACTTCACTAATGAATTAATGTGTCTGCTCGAAGTAATTTCTTTTGAAATTGCAATATATCTAGATCTGGATGTACGCTCCCTAAATCATCTATTATAGCAGAAAGTGTCAAGCTATCAAGAAATTGTACAATGCCTTACTTAGTCTCCGCCAGAACGGGGCACTGCTACTTGAGAGACTTCTCTTTGTAAAGATATTTCTAACCGTCTGTCCAGTATTCAGTTGATGGGATGGGCAATTGGAGGAATACAAGTAAGCACAAGTTTTGAACTGCATAACTCTGTTGTATCAATCGGAATGGGATAAAAAAAAATAGGAAATACACAGAAAGAAGAGTGCGACACAGCCCATTATTATGCCCGATTCGCGTACGCTGGTTTCTTTATAGAGTTGCTGGACTGTTTATACATTTACTTGCACACTCAGACACACGCCCAGAAGAAATACACAATACAATACCTACTTGTACATACATATGTATGTGTGTGTGTGTACATAGGTGGTATGTGGCACGAAGGCACGAAGTTTACAGCAAAAACCGTTTCGAATAGCCAATTTCATGCTTCGAGTGCAACGCTTTCAATCAAACATATAGAGAGCGACGTGCGACGA